ACTCCATCCCAAAAAAAAATTTGTGCCGTTACATTCATGTAAATGGTGATTCTTAATCCATTGGAAAAAAATTAATGCTTGAGCAGCTTTTAATTAGGATTTGAGCTTGATAAAATATATATGATTGAGTCATAGATCAATCCTTAATTAGGTGAAGAAATGCATTTGAGTATTTGACTGTAAAAAGAGAGAAAAAAAAAGGCTAATCTCATAACAAGCCATTTATTCATTTTATTTTTGGTTTAAAAGGCTAGGTTCCAACTTCGGCGGAGTTACTACTGGAAAGATAGATGAACGCAACTTTTGATAACACTACAAGTAAGATGGTGTTTTTATTCTATCATAAATAAATATTCCACCACATGATCGAATGAGTATCATTGAACAATTAAAAAGAATCAAAACATATTTTGTGGATGCCATCTTGAAGATAATGTCTATGTGTACTAAAGGAAAAACAATGAATTTATATGTCAGTGGTTTTTTCAATAGAATATTACTTTAAATTTGAGAAATACAATGAAACTTTTTTTATGAATGTATCCTCATATAGACATGTTGTAGAAATCAACCCACATTATACGATCTTTACAATAGAAAAATTGATTAAAATTTCCTTTGGTATAAAGTAGATCAAGAAAAGGAATGTGTAGTACAATTATTGATCTATGAAAAATGTTGAATCATTTGTACTTCTATCCCTATTTTGTCTTGGTCATATTCACTTACTTCCACGTCTTCGGCCTACTCCACAACCTATCTTTTTTAGTAACTACTCAGTTCATGTTGTTTCATGCCCTCATCTATCCTTTCTTCTTTCATGCCCTCTTTCACTCTGCTTTGCCTGTCGCTTTCCATCCCCCTCTTCTATCTCATGATATTGTTGTATCTTCTTTGATGATATCAGTTTCTTCAGGATCATTCTACTTTAATGTGGCTGGATCAATCTCTTTTGTTCGGTAATATTGCTCATCATTTTCAGTTCTTCATTACATTTTTAAAAAGCTTCTGATTCAGATGAACACTGAGTTGATAGTACCTAAGAGATTGTCCTGATCTATTTACATTTTGAAGAAAAATCTCACAAAACGCTTGAAGTTTTGTTACAATGATGTGGATCTTGAAGCTCTGTTACAATCAAATCATGTCATCTCTGCTTATTATTAGTTCCAAGAGTTGATTGTTTTGGGAGATGATTCAAGGCGCTAGTGAAGTTGAACGGTGGACTTAGATAAGTAGGCATTTTTTTGGTGATATCTTTTTTTTTTCATATAGTATGTTCCCCAAACAATTGATTAATCTTTATATGTTAAGGCTTCTGCTTTGAGGTGATTTAATTTTCCTATGGGCTATGATATCACAAGTTTCAGGTGATTGTTTAGAAAGAATTTGAGTTGCCAAATTCTTTGGTGCTTTCATGAAATTAGCAGTGATATCGACGGCTAAAAATTCAGGGTAAGCTTTCAATATTGATTGTTTTTGCTGCTATCAATGTGTTGAAGAAAATCTTAGGCCTCATTTGAGACGGTTGGGATTGTTTGAAACTGATGAAAGTCATCCATGAAAATCTCAGACTAGCATTGGAAGCAATTGTCCAACAAAGGTTAGAACCGACAAACCAGAGGATTCCATGTCCACGTCACATAGTTCTGCTTTCTGGTGTTCTTATTTTTGCACATCCATAAATACTTGCACAAAGAGAAAGTTAATGGTCCAGAGGTAATGCAACGTTTTATGAACTTGCTGAGAGGTCACTAGATGAGCCAGTTAATGATGGAATGAAAGAGCATATATCAAAGGTATTATTCAAACTTTTGTTGGATCTTATGATTTTAATATGCAATTATCTCCTATTTCAGTCTTCTACAAGGTTACTACGAGTTGAAGAGAGTTGCATTCACCTAGATTATGAACTGTCAATCATTGTGTTAATAAGCTTTTGTTGTGACCCTGTGGTTCCTGGCAGTGGCGGATCCAGGATTTAGACTCCGTGGGTGCCAAATAGACTTATCGATTAAATTAATTTTATATTTGATTAAATTATTCGTCTTTTCGATATAAATTAATTTTAGTTCTCTAATTTTTCTTAAAAGAATGTGTGCAGCAATTTT